TTTTTTCATGCCCGAACAACCACACCGGAGATATTGGCGAAACAAACCCGACAAACGCGATCCGACGGACACGCAAAAGAGAAAAAAAAAAAGGAGCGCACCACGAAATAGCGCACGCATACACTCACTCCCGACCACGTGTTGCCGACCGGCAAAAGAAAAACGGGAAACTTCACTGGAAAATGCAACGGAAATGCATGTTAATGACAACTGCAGATCCGTTACACTCCCAGGCACCAACACCAACATTCACAAGACACTGACACTCCTGAGGCAAGCAGAAAATCGCCGAGATGGGTAAGGGTTGATCTTTTCCGTCAATTAATGATAGCTACCTTAGTGGGGGGTGAGAGAGGGTAAATAACGACGAAAGTAGGAGAGTTAAGCAGGGCGCTGTATCCTTCTAATTTACATACGAACCAATGATAAAATATTCGAAGGGCGCTACCGACATCCGAATTAGCATACCGACCAATAATAACATTTCTTCTCGGAAAAAAGAGAAGAAAAGCGATCTTTGACCGTGAAAAGCCGATTCTCGTCCATTTTGCCACTGGTCTTCTAGCGAGAAGGAGTAATCACGCCAGATAATCTTGCCGCAGGATCAATTGCGTTAGACGCCTGTTCTCACTAATTTTGTTCGCCGAAACAGCAAGGAAAATCATAAGTAGGCAAAGTGCCACTCACTTATATTAATCGCGGAGTACGGGAGTGAAATTTTCAGCGCCGTAGGTCGTCGCGACGCGTGGATCCGTCGATGCCGGTGCCTATCGAATCGCGCTGACCTTTCCACCATTTCATAAATTGAACGTGAGTGTTAGGTTTATACGGATTAAAGGCAGTGGTTAATTTATTTGCGCTGACCTTTCGCCGTATACTAAATCGTTACGCACACAGAAGTAGACGAATAAAATTATTGATTAGTTTAATTGTGCTGACCTTTCCGCCATTTCGTAAACCGAACGTGAGCGTTAGGACCAGACAAAGAAAACTCGTGATTTAGGATATTCGCGCTGACCTTTCGCTAATAATATTTATTGCAAACGTAGAATTAGCCGAATAAAATTATCGAGCCTATTGAATTGTGCTGACCTTTCCGCTATTTCGTAAATTGAACGTGAGTGTTGGGATCAGACCAAGAAAACTCGTGATTTAGAGTATTCGCGCTGACCTTTCGCTAATAATATTTATTGCGAACGTAGAATTAACCGAATTAAACTATCGAGCCTACTGAATTGTACCGACCTTTCCGCCATTTTATAAAATCGAACGTGAGCGTTAGGATCAGACAAAGGAGGCTCGTGATTTGATTTATTCGCGCTGACCTTTCGCCAATAAAATGTTCCACTGTGAATATTGCAAGTAGACGAATTCGAACTCGTTATTCAATTATTCGCGCTGACTTTCCGCCGTATGATATTTTATTGCAGAAATTGGGAATATAAGAATTAGAATTCATGATTTATTTATTTGCGCTGACCATTCCATCATCTTTGTCAATCGAAGACCGACCGGAAAATTATTAATATTTCGATTAATTTGTATCCTCGCTATTTCATAATTATTCAGAGTCATACTGACCCTAATCACTCCGACTTCTTGCTTATGAATTAATAAATACGTCAATAAAGTGATTAATTGTTTTTTTATAAAATTTACTTTGTTACCCTGTCTCAATTGCATGCTGGTGATTTTCAGTCGCGAGCGGTTATAATCGGGTAATGCTGATTCGCTATATTTTTGGGTTCCACGATAGGTAACATACGCGCGAATTCGAACGGACTTACGACCTGAATTAAGGAGCCATCATCTGAGCTGCCGGCATACCATAATTGAGGAGGAAAAATAGGAATCGAGTAGTTGGACACCGAGGCCTGAAACTGAGGAGATCGCGAGTACTCACCCGTTTGCCCACCCTGCGCAGTCGCCGTGAAGACAAACCGGGATACACGCGACAAATCCCATTTTGGCTTTACCCCCGACGATCGCCTTAATTAGCCGGCGGTCTGGCGCCCTAAATAATCGGGGGCAAAGAGTCAAACAGGCCTTGTGGCGGAAGAAATTCGTAGCGCGGTGAAAACCCCCGAAATTCCCCGCCACACCTTTTATAAGAAAGACTTAAGATCTGCTTATGGGACACTTCGCACCATAAGAAACTAGGGTAAAGTCTATCTTTCCTTGAAATATCACTCATATAATCATATATATAATTTATTATTTAATTTCAAAGTAATAATTAGAAGCATTTTGAAAAACGAAACGAATTCTTACGCATTAACGCGACAGACCACGACAGTACGAACAATAATATAAATAATAAGTGATATGAACATCACAATTTCCTCTCCGCTTGCTCTTCCTCTCCTCTTGGATCTTACCGCTACCTTTAATCTCTACACATACTTTTCTCGTAGTTTCTTCATGGTGCTTTTCATCGTGTCCTTCTCCAGCCACGTTTCCTGTAAGATTATTATGTCATATTTTTTTATGTAGTTCCATTCTTTCCATATGTTTTTAATTCCTGCTATATTCCAGGCAATTCCTGTTATCTTCTTTTCCTTCCTAGTTCTTTCCCCTCGTTTTAGTCTGTTACCCCCTTCTTTTTGCTTTCACCATACCCCTTCTCTTTCACTCTATTCGTACCATGTTCCCTCTACTATTATCTACTGGTATCCTGCCATGGCTCTTCTTCCTCTTCCTCTTTCTTCCCTCTCTATCATTTCTATCCGATTCTGCACTACCTTTTCTCTTGTCGTGAAATCATATTTTATATATACTGCTTTTCCCTTTCATCTGTATTTGTTTTTGAATATTTCCATCTTGTTCTAAAATGTGCACGTCGTCAGTACAGCCCATTCCCTGATTGTTTCTATTTTAAAGATTTTTATAGAGACTTTCAGTAAACTCCCCAACTCTTCCTTGTATCTTGCTGTTGCTTTCTTCCCTCTCCATCACATCAATTCCCTCACTAGAACGTTGTTTTTTCTTTATATCTTCTCTCTTCTCTGGTATTGCTGTTCCGTTAATGTCACCTCGTCTGGTTTTGTCCTAGAGCTTCCTGTCCCTGGCACTTCTCATATCGGTATCCTGCTCTCCTTGTTTGCAGACGTCCTTTCCTTCCAGTTCTCCTCTACGTACCGTTCTCTTCTTCGCTCTTCGTTTTTACTCTGCGTGTTTCTCAGCTTTTTGTTTGTTTTTCTATCCCCTTTGTTATCATCTTCTTCTCACCTTCTTGTTGTCATTTCTTTTTCTTTTTCCCCACATATTCTGTGCTGCTTTCACAGTTTCTCTCTTTCTCTAGTTCCACAATCTTTTCCTGCAATTTATTAATTTTAGTATCTTTTTTATTAACTTTCCCCCATACGTCTTCTAATCTTAATTCCTGTTTGTTTTCTATTAACGTTAATTCTCCTTTATGCTTCTGTTCTCTATTTTCTATATCTTCCAGTAGTCTTAAAAGAAAAGTAAGCCTTTCTTTTAATTTCACTCATGAATTTATTTGTTTTCTCTCCTACCCCCTCTACTACACTATCCTCTTTATTTCTTCTATCATAACCTGTTTCCTCCTTTCTATGGGAATGCTTGCTTCTCTCCTTGTCCCAGTCTTTCACTATAACTGCCCCGTCCGCGACATTCTTTTCCTTATCCGCTACACTAATACTGTTGGTTCCCCCTAGCGGTTCGTTACCTTTGTCTCCACCAGAAGCCTCCTTCCATCATTCCATCGTTACCGACCTCTCCTTCTTTATCCTCTCTTTTCTCTCCTTCTTTGTTCTCGTTCACCTTACTTCCTATCTCTTTCCACCTTTTTTCGTCACTCTCCCCCGTTACATTCCCTCCCCCACTTTTATCATGATTTTTTTGTGGTATTTTCCTGCACATTTTCACTTTCCTTCTGTTCTCTCTTTGTCGGCTTTCCTCTCTTCTTCTTGTTTTCCTGTTCCTCGTTCATTTTCCTGCTTTTTTATCACTCTATTTAATAGTTTTTTTTCTATTAGTTCCAATATATACTTGCTGCTCTTACGCTGCATTGTCACTCATTCCGATGCCAAACTGAAAGCCCCATTTTCTCCGATATATTTGAAAGTTATTTAGTTTCAGTACAAATTATGTTCTGACTTGTATTTAATTATACGAATATATAAGATTTTTCCATTTAGAGTCTGATAATTAAATAATAATGCAATTAAATAAAAGTGATCTATGAACTTGAGCTCACTATAATAAATGTTATACAAATCGACGCCTCACGGCTATTTCAAATTATTAGATAACTCAAAGCTAAAGAGGAAGAAAAAATAAGTTTCTCTTACAGCGTAAGCAATAAAAAAACCCTCAGGAATGTGTAGAAGCAAAAATTTTAAATAGAAATTTCTTTTTATATTTTCCAATTCATTTAAGAAAAAAGTTGATAACTTTTTGTAGTAAAAAACTATCTTTTATCATTGCAAATATTTTTAAAGCTTAAGATTATACACTTATATTAAAAATAGTTGGTCTCTATATCTTAGTGTGCAAATGTGCATGCTCTACTCGTATTACGGGTTGTCACACGTAAATGCTTCAAATATACGACTTGAACACTACCTTGAGAATTATCTTTTTTTTTTGAGTAAATTTAAAATTTTATCAATGTACATATAACTATATCTCTAAAAAACTAAATACTATAAGGAGTGCTTCTAAGTTATTCTGTTGAACTTGAAAATTTCTATTTCAATGCATTGAGTTATTCCGTTTTCTAGACAGAACCTTCTCGTAGAGTTCTTGAACTATTGAAATAACATGGTAGAGATCTACGTGGAGTATTTTTTAAAAAAATCATCATTGAGAGAATTTGTTCCAAAAAATACATACTAATGTTTACGTTGTAATATGAGTAAATATACTGTCATTATTGAATTATCGCTGTAAGCGTGGTAAATATTTAAAATAAACTGACCACAAAATTACAGTGTAATTGATAGTAATATATAGTTCGAAATTATATATTTTTGCAGTTGTTCTTCTTGACACAACAACAGAAGGCAGTTTGAAGTGGACCAAGTTTCCATTTGGAAAACAAGCTAATACTCCAGGAGTAAGTATTTAATTATTAAGACTACTAAATTTTTGGATGAAAATACTTATTTATTATTTACTATCTTTATTTATAATCTGTCTATAAAGGACAGTACGTATATTTTATAAATTTTTATTGTAAATTAATAATAAGCTAATATATAAAGGTACTTTTCCAATGATACGTACTATATCGTTACATATTTACATTGTTTCTAATAGAAGATAACAATATAAGTGTTAGGAATGTAAAAATAGTCTTTTATGTTTTTTGAATTCTGAAAGGCTAGGTGTTGTATGAAGCAAATTCTCCGCCAAGCAATTTGGATGTTCAGATATCCTGTTTGTGTACTTCCTGCTTGCAGCTTCTATTTCGTCTTTTACAGTTGTTATCGTGATGTCTTTTCTATTTATCTCATTCCTGACGTACTGACGTACCACATTGCATTCATGATAGATTTTAGAACTTTATTTTGGAATCTTACATAATGTCTGTGTCTGGTTTTGTTGCCATGTCGCATAATTGGATTCCATAGGTCCATATTGGTTTAATTATGCATTTATGTATTAATGGCTTATTAATTGAATTTTGATTTTCTGCCTAATAATTAGAAGAATTTTCGTAAATGTAAGTCGAGTTGCTTTCCGTTAGTTCAAATATAGTTTTACAACAAAATTTTTCAGACAAAAGTTGTTTGGGACAGTGAGAGACATCTTTCCTAGAAATCGGATTTGATCTTGAGATTTATTTTATTTATTTTACTTGATTTATTTTCAAGGTCATTTGAAGGTCAAAGTCATTTTTTGAATAGGAACCTATAATTTTGATCCCGGATTCAGATAAAGCGAGAAATTCTACGTTTAGTTAAGGTATTATGTGTGGGGTACGGTTAACCCCCCCCCCCCCCCCGCGTAAGATCATGTAGGGGTCAAATTTATTATTTTCTTCATCTATGCACAGGGATCAAGGGTAAAATTAGGTGTAATAACCTAATAACTTGCTGGTAATATCTTGCCTCCAACCCAATAACTGGACGGTAATATCTTGCTTCAGCACGATAACCGCCTTGACCGACAAAATTACCCAGGGAGGTTTCGGTACCGAAACCACGTGAGAATCCGAATCATTGAACGAAGAGAGAGACGTCGACTATGAATACGCAGAAATCGTCGTCGCATTATGAGACAAAACAATGTTGTTTTGGCAATGGTTGATTTGAATCATCATATCTCTTTGCGTGAAATTCAGAGACGTACTGGAATCTTAAGAACAACAGCCGGTAGAATTTTGCGGCTTCATAGATTTCATCCGTATCACATAACTTTGATTCAAGCTTTGATGCCAGACGACCTCCGCCGCAGACTCGAATTCTGTGATTGGGCAGAAGCAAGGATTCGTGAAGATCCTGAATTTTTCAGATACGTAATGTTTTCGGACGAAGCTACATTTCATAGTAATGGGCAACTCAATCGCCATAACAGTTATTATTGGTCTATCTAGAACCCTCATTGGGTACGTCATGTTGATAATCAGCATAGATGGAGCCTCGTACTGTGGTGCGGTATAATAAATGGTTATCTGATAGGACCTTATTTTTTCGATGGGAATGTCAACAGCGCAGCATATCTTAATTTCCTGCAGAATGAATTACCAGAATTATTGGAAGATGTGGACTTGGAAACAAGACGACGATTATTGTGTCCCTCATGTGCAGTATCGTCTGTATGCGTCTTCTCGTGAGAAACATCAATTCCGTTTTTTCTGTTGCTAGTTCGTGGTCTGTCATCTATCGTCCGACTCGTCTCATGGTCTGGTTCAACGCCAGCTGCGACAGCTCGGAGGACCTCTCCGTGATCACCGCCGTCACGTCATCAGCGTAGGCGACGAGGGTCACTCCGAGCGGCATCCCAAGCCGAAGCAAGCTATCGTATAAGCCATTCCAGAAGTCAGGTCCAGTATCGACTCCTGTGCCACCCCAGCGGTGACCTATCTCGTTACTTGTCCTTCGATCGTCTCGTACATTATCCGTCTGTTTTTTAGGTAATCCTCCACAACCCGAAGCAGGTATGGCTGGATCCCGAAGTTGCTTTTCAGCGCCTCCAAGATATCCTTCCACCTAGCCAAGTTAAAAGCATACCTAATGTCAAGCGTTGCCAGCAACACCATAGGTCACGCTGCGTGGCAATGTCTGTCTAGTTCCAGGAAAGAATCGACTACTTTTTGGATCGCTCCAATCGTCGATCGATCCCTCCTGAAACCAATCTGCAAATCTAAGAGACTCCCTCCGGTCTATATCGCGTCCATCAGTCTCGGTCTCAGTAATTGTTCAAAGAGTTTACCAGTCGTGTCAAGTAAACTCATCGGTCAATAAGCCGAAAGCGTACCAGGATCGCTCCTACCTTTCGGGATAAGAACGAGCGTTGCCACCTTCCACCTGTTGCTGAACGTTTCTGTCGTCAAGCACCTGTTGTACAGGTCGAGGAGTATCTCGGGCCGTAAACGAGCCACAAATCGGAAGATCTCGGACGCTAGTCCGTCTGGTCCCGGTGCCTTACCCGTCTTCATCGCATTCGTTGCTCTGATGAGCTCCTCAGCGGCAAATGCGGTGGGCATATGTACGTCCACGTCATCCATCACGTTTGTCCTAATCGGGTGCGTCGGAAACAATCCGTCAACAATCCGTCCCGCTGTTTCGGCATCTTTAAGTTCCGGTAAGACTCGGCCCCCTAGTTTCCCGGTCACGATCTTGTAGCCGGTTCCCCAGGGATCCTCGTTCACCTCCTCGCAGAACTTCCTCCAGCATCGCGTCTTGCTATCCCGTATTGCTTTCGTCAGCGTCTTCCGTGCTGTTTTGTACATGGCTTGGAGGTTTTCCCTTTCGGGTCCGCCCCTTGCCCTAGTCACTCGTCGCCGATTTGTCAGGAATACGAGGTCTGTCCAGAAAGTATCGGGCCTACGTTTATATCTTCGCGCCATAGTGTTCGAGCATCCTCTACCGGACAGAAACGTCAACAGTAAAGCCTCACGAATCTATTGGTTACTTACTGACACCTGCCGGACGTATAGTTCATGCGTAGCGTGTCTATGTTTACAGTACCTTTTTCGCGTTCGTCGGATTTTGATATTGTCAAAAATGACTGAAAAACAAGATCAACGAATTTGCATCAAATTTTGCTTTCAACTCGGAAAAACGAGTTCGGAAACTATTGAAATGATGCAAAAGGCCTTCAGAAGCGAGTGTATGAACAAAACACGAATAAAAGAGTGATATAAACGGTTCAAGGATGGTCGCACTTCTGTCGATGGTGATTCTCGTTCTGGCCGACTTTCGAAGACAAAAACCGCAGATAATATTGAGCGGGTGTGACTTGCAATCGAACAAGATCGTCGTAAACCTTGGGATATCAAAAACTATAATTTCAGAAATTACAACCGAAAATTTAGGAATGAAACGCGTGTGTGCGAAATTCATCCCAAAAGTGCTCACAGCAGAGCAGAAGAACATTTACCTAGAAATCGCTCTGGACAATCTGGAAATGGTCAATAATGATGATAATGTTCTTAGAAAAGTTATTACAGGTATTGAATCATGGGCTTATGGTTATGATCCTGAAGCAAAACAACAATCTTCACATTCTGAATCGCCAAGACCAAAAAAAGCACGTCAAAGTCGGAGCAACGTTAAGTCAATGTTGATTGTTTTTTTTTCGGTTATAAAGGTGTTGTACATCACGAATATGCAACAACAGATCAGACAATAAATAAAGAATACTACGTTAAAATTTTGAAACGTTTGCGTGATGCAGTAAGAAGAAAAAAGCCGCACTTTTGGGAAAGTGATGACTGGCTTCTCCATCACGATAATGCGCCAGTGCATTCATCCAATCTTGTGCAGCAGTTTTTGAGCAAATACAATATCGGATTGCTTCGCCAACCTCCATACAGTCCCGACATAGCCCCTTGTGACTTTTAGCTGTTTCCAAAACTAAAAAACCACTCACAGGACACCGATTCGATGACAAAACAACGGTTGAAAACAATGCGACGAGTGTACTTAAGGCTATCCCTAAAAGTGAGTTCCAGGACTGTTTTGAAAGGTGGAAACATCGATGGAACCGTGTTTTTCAATCAAGTGGGGATTACTTTGAAGGATGCGACGCACCAGATGATAAAGAATAACGCTAGCACGAAAATATAAAGGTACGCTAGATACTTTCCGGACAGACCTCGTATCCTGCTTAGCTCGACTATCTCGTTGTTGTATCTGTCGATGTTTCGGAATTGTGCTTCTGCACAAGATGTCTATTAATTTGGCCGTCTCGTCTGTCAGTCTTTTCGCTCTTTATCGGCTCGTTAGTTTGGGGGGAATTCTCTCCCATGGAGCCGGTTCTGCCATTAGCTTTTCCGAAAATTTTTGTCCGTCGAGTTTACGTAGATTTCACCGCGGGTGTTGGTGGGTTCTCGTTCGTCTCGTTCCTGTCCATCCCTACACTTCAAAGACGATGTACTGGTGATCGCTGGCTGTGTAGTCTTCGATCACCCGCCATCCCCTCAGCCGTGGCAGGATTCTGTCCGATGTTATCGTGACGTCGGGGATAGAGTCTCCGACGCCTGGCCGTTTATACATCGGCGTATGTCCCGTATTTACCACTTCTAGATCGAGCCTTGCGGTCATTTCCAGCATAGTTGTCCGCGTCGATTCGTTTTATTCGTTCCCCACTCGGTCGCCCTCGCGTTAAAATCCCCCGCAATGATGACATCCCCAGGCAGGTCCCTGATCCCGTTTTCTGGGAGTGCCGCCTTTCTTTCGAACTCCATCGCGGTGCAGTTGGGTGTCAAGTAGACGCTGAGATAAGTGACAGCGCCAACTGTGACCCAGACATAGTCGTCCCCGACACCGCGATTGGAGACTCTAGATTGGATGCCACCCCGTACCCAGATAGCAGTGGTCTCTGTCTCGTTTGTAATGGATGTCTGGGTCGTCTTTCTCCTGTATGGTTCACTCCGGATCAGGATGT